CTTCAGCTGGGCTTTAATAGTTTGTATTGGACATAAACAGATAGTCCTAGACTCATAACCATTTGTTGACCAACTGTCCAAAGTTACAATGGCATTGAAAAAAGTTAATGGCCCTGACACTTACTACCTTTGTAGATTTTGTTGATCACATGATCAAAATTTGGACACTTAGCAATTGACATGTATTTATAATGTTTGAAGCATCCCAAAATCATGTGATCTCCATTATGACCTTCCCAGCCAGTTTTGACATGCAGAGTCAATAGCGGAATCTGGATTCACTTAATGTGACCACATGATTTACAAATGCAGTGATTCACTTAACAATTGTGGCAAAAAAAGGTTGCAAAATTGGGGAAGATTCACTTAACTTGCCTTGCTTAGCAATGGAAATTCTGGTCCCAATTCTGGTCGTACGTCAAGGACTACCTGTATAAAAACCACCTAGAATTGTTAATGAGATTCTAGATACTGTATCAGTGTTCCAAATATATAGTGGCAGCAATGAGTGCATTTCAGTGGTATAGTATTCTATTGCATTATCTCTTTCAAGCTAACATCCTCATTTGAATGCCATTTTCTTTCTTTTAGTTGATTGTTGGAATCATGGCCTTCTTGAGTGGTGTGTTAACACTGATGCTGCCAGAAACACTTGGAAAACCATTGACAAACACGTGGGCGGAAGCTGCAGAGCTAGATGAGCAGGTCACCAAAAAAGACAATTCAGAAAAATCTCTTCCAGCACAGAGTGATGCAACACTGGAGAAAATGGAAATGCTAAACCAAGGAGCACGAGGCACTGATTGATAAAAGCATCCTTTTGGTTTTAGCCAGCTTGTGTGATTTTATCTGCAACATCCTAACAGACAGTCCATGGTGCCATGTAACAGGAACATTTTCTTGCTTTCTCAAGAAGGGAGACATACAAGCTAGTTCCTTGTTCAGGATGCTTTTCTAAATCAAGTAGCTAGCAACTGGAGAAATGTGAATTATAATTTTGAGACACACACAGAGAAAAGGTTCTCTTTCAGAGTTCGCATTGCTTTTTCTGCCTGCTTATTTTGAAAACCTCTCAGAATGCCTTATATCAGCAACAACCAGCACCAGAAGACACAAAGTAGAAACTCATGATTTCAGGAAGACATATGGCAGTGCAGGAACACTTACCTTCTGTTGCAGTGATTTCTCTGTACATGGAAGATACAGTTGTATTTTCTATGATTTTGTCTCCTTACCTAGCAATGTCATCAGTTAAGGAAAAGAAACAGGCATTCTGTAACTTCCATGGACCCTGTCCTAGATATCAGCATTATGCAGATGGAAGAAAATACTGTTTCTTGATGTCGTTTTAGTATGATTGGAAGAACACAGCTGAAATCAGATTATGTTAAAAGTAACACTCTTGAAAATATCTAATAACTTGCACAGTCTAGAAAATGTATATATGCTTCAATTCTTATTATAAAATTGAACACCTAAGCAAATTTTGGGGAAAAGGAGCCTAGGAACATTCTGAAGAAAATATGCAGAGATTATCAAGAAAGCCAAGAACAAATGGAAATATAATATAATAAATCAGAGAACTGGAAAATGGTATATATTGAAGGGGGGAAAAAACAAGAAAGTCCAGTTGCCTTTTAAACAGCACATTTGGAACAACTAGGATCTGGATGACTGAGAATCTATATAGATATACATACAGAAATGGAACCCCCCCCCCAATTTTGTGAGGTTAGGCTCCAGGTACTCCATCAGGACCCTTCTGCTTTGTTTCATGACTGATGTTGCATGACTATTGCATGTATTCTGATACATCATGTTAATTCTGAGCGAAGCCCTTTAGTGATTCTTCAGGGCTTTGCTAATTTAATTCATTATCTTATTCCTTCTGGAAGGGAAACAGAGACTAATGGGTAAAACCAGCCCTTAAAACAGCACTTTTTCTCCTGCTATCCACCCTCGATCAACTTCTCCAGAATGAGTCAATACTTTTTATCCTACCCTAACTCTCCTGTTTTTGGTGTGAATCCATGTTTGGTGCTCTTGAAACTGGAGACAGGTATGTGTGGGTTTTCGTGCCTCTAAAAGCAAACCCACTTTCAGTGTGGAACCCAAGGCTCCCATTACAAGTGCATGGAGTGAACAGAAAACGGTCTAATGAAACCAATACATTAAAGCACTCTAATAATAAAAAGCATGTGCATTATGTTCAGCATCTACTCCAGTTTTTAATAATGTGCTGTACACTGGCAATAGTATAAAACTAGTCTTTGACTTACAACCATTTGTCTTGTGACCATTTGAAGTTAACAACGGCACTGAAAAAAGTGACTTATGAGCGGTTTTCATACTTATGACCATTGCAGTATCCCCATGGTCACGTGATCAAAATTTGGATGCTTGGCCCACTCGCATGTATGTGTGACAGTTGCAGTTTCTTGGGGTCATGTGATCACCTTTTGCGACTTCGACAAAGTCAATGGGGAAGCCAGATTCCACTTAACAACTGTGTTAACGGCTGCAGTGATTCACTTAACAACTCTGGAAAGGTCGTAAAATGAGGAAAAGTCACTTAACAACTGTCTTGTTTAGCAACAGAAATTTTGGGCTCAGTTGTGGTTGTAAGTCGAGAACTACCTTATGTATAACCAGATTGATTAAATAGTGTACATAAACAGAATGTACCCAGATATTTTTCCAGACCTTTTGCTGTGGATTCTTACATGGTTTGAGCTGAAGTTGCTTTTATGTAAATGTTTTTAAATTCAAGGAATAGAATGTCAAGTTCATTGTCAATGCTAGCTGCTAGCTAACAATCACAAGATGATAAGAATAACATGCAGGAAACTCTTTTCTATTGTCATGCAATGATCTGGATACAGCAACCCCAGTTTGCACATGCAAAAACATAGGATTAAATGCAAATTCCATCACTTCAATTTCAGTCTCTTTCCACCCCTGCTTTCCTTTATTTCCTTGTCCTGGTGAGAAATTCTGGAGGACTCAAAACCTTTCAGTCTTTCAGTTGGCCCCATAAATATACTGCTCTATTTTATATTTTGGATTTTTTTTATGGTTATCACAATTGCCTGTTTTCAGCAGTACAAAAGTAGAATCAGTGTTATCGAGGTTTCTTACTGGGAATTGAACACAGTTTGAAGGTGACATTACACTTTTTTTTACCTGTATGGAAGAGAATTTCATACAACTTAGAATAGAGAAGTAGAGGTTCCCTTTTGTCACCCTTCCTCTATGACATTTTGCACTTTTTAAAATTCCATTTCATCTTCATTTTCTGGCAATACATCCTATCCCAAAATTAAGTAGAGATAGATCTAATACTTGGATTAATATTTCCAAAATGGATAGATCTGGGCTTGCAGAATACCAGAAGTTAAAATATGAATGGCAAGATTATGGTTCAGTGAAAGGGGTCAGTGAAAGATATAAACTGTTTCTGACAAATGAACTTGAAAATGAGCTTAGTGACTATACTCCCGTATCATGTTAAACCATGGTTTGATTCCCTCTGATTTAATGAATGAGCTACATTTGACTAAGTTTATAAAATTGGAGACGGGGGAGTCTAGAAGAAGTCCTCTACTCTAAACCCCTCTAGGATTAGAATGCTTGGACCATCCTTTGTTTGAAAACCCCCAGTGATGGAATACCCATAACTTCAGAAGGCAGGATATTCCAGAATTTAAGAGTTATTATGATCAGCAAACTACTACTTAATTTGAGATTGGACCTCTCTCTATAAAGCAGGGGTCCTCAAACTTGGCAGCTTTAAGACTTGTGGACTTCAACTCCCAGAATTCTCCAGCCAGCTATGCGGCTGGAGAATTCTGGGAATTGAAGTCCACAAGTCTTAAAGCTGCCAAGTTTGAAGACCTTTGCTATAAAGCATTGGTTGTTGCCCTACTCTCAGGCTTTATGGAGAATATATACATGACTTCTTGTGATGGCTCATCAAGTATTAAAAGACTGCTGTCATGTCTCACCTTTATCTTCTCTTCTTAAAGCTTTGGCATATCTAATTCTTTTAGAATAGAATAGAAGTTTTTATTGGCCAAGTTGATTGGTCACGCAAGGAATTTGTCTTGGTGCATATGCTCTCAGTGTACATAAAAGAAAATATACGTTCATCAAATAATTTAACATTATTTAATAGAGTTTAATCTCCAAGGATTTCACTGTCTTTGTTGCTCTTCTCTACACACTCTCCAGTTTCTCAGCCCTCTTCTTGTTTGGGGAAATCAAAACCCAACCTAGTATTCCAATTGCTGTCTGACCAATGCTGTGGATCACTTCCACGATTTTGACATTACAGTGTACCTCTGTACCAGCCTCTACTGCTGTAGCCCAAACCTACATTGGCTCTTTTGGCAACTGCAGCACAGTGCTGCCTTGTGCTTAATTTGTGGTTTTCCAGAAGCTGCTCACAACCACTGCCAAGCCAAGATATCAACATGAGCATCTCACAATTCTCATCACTGAATAGTTTTGCTAAACGGAACTCTTATGTCTTTGAACCTTCCGCCTGTTTTGTGAGATAGTAATTTCCCGCCTCTGCCCCCTTGTGTCATCGGCAAATTTGCTGAGCTTTCCTTTTCTCCCCTCATCTATGTCATTAGTAAATATGCTGAAGAGCTCTGGGTGCAGGGCGGAACTGTTGAGATATCCCACTGCATAACCATCTTTCATGCAACACGCTAATCCATAACCAAATCACATGGAAGCTTCACATGTTACCTGTGTTATTTTTTTACTACTACTGTGCCCGTACAATTTAGCCGCTCTGATTAAAAAGACTAGCAAAAGCAACCCACTCAAATACTTTCCCCCCCATGTCTTCAGATAGTAGATAGGCTACTATTAGCAACAGTATCCAGGGCTGCCGCCTCAAAAGGAAATTGCTCCGAAAGCCCCATCTTTTCACAAGCCTTTTCCAGCGCGCACGCGCGAGCGAAAAAAAAAGGAGCAAAATACTTTTTTTTCGCCCTCCGTCCAATCAGAATCTAGTAGAGTTGGCTAATTGTAATAACTCCGCCTACTGGGTTCATGTTTTCCGGTTGTTAAACTTGGACCCTCCTGCTTCTCTGATACGCAACGCTTCTGTGCGAAGGCGGCACTTGTCAGAAAACATCTGGTTTCTTCTGTGAAGAAAGGTATTTCTGCCCTCCCCCCCCCACTTCCCCATGTAATACGTGTGGTTCTTGAAAGCTCCTTTAAATCGATGATGTACTCAGTCAATTCTTAAGTAAATGCAGGCTTGCACAGGAAACGTACGTTAAGTTGTACTTTACAGCAACATAAGGGTTTTATTTTTTTGCAGCCGTGAAGAAATTGCTCTTCCCTGATATTGGTCAAGCCATCAACAGGTCTTTTTTTTTTAAAAAAAATCCTTGTCATAACTATTTTTGGAAGAACGATATATATATATAATAATTTTTATTCAACATTTACATTTTGAACATCCTTGTTACATTTTTACAGCTTTCCGATACCGGCATCTTTGATAATATCTATTTTATCTTTTAACCAACTATATAAACATACATTCTATATATTACTTACTAAATTCTACATTCACTACAATTTATACTTCTCTATTACACAATAACTATTTCTCTCTTCTCTAATATCTTCTCTTATGTTTATACATTTATACATTAATTTTGGATTCTTTCTCCAACCAGTTATACCATCTATTCCACGTCTCGTAATAAATTGTTTCCTCTCGGTCTTTTAGTTCCACTGTTAATTTTTTTATTATTTTTTATTTTATTTTTTATTTATTTGATTTATATGCCGCCCTTCTCCGGAGACTCAGGGCGGCTTACAATGCGTTAAGCAATAGCCTTCATACTTTTGTATATTTATACAAAATCAGCTTATTGCCCCCACAAACTGGGTCCTCATTTAACCTACCTTAGAAAGGATGGAAGGCTGAGTCAACCTTGAGCCTGGTAAAATTCGAACCTGCAGTAATTGCAGGCAGCTGTGTTAATAACTGTACTACCAAGGCTGTAATTTATCTGCTTCTGCACATTCTAGCACCTTTTTTATGATCATCGTATTTGATGGAGCAAATCTGTGTTTCCAATTTTGTGCAAATGAAATTCTGGAGGCTGTAATTATGTGAAATATAAGATAATGAATTTCTTTCCTAATCTTCTGTTTTATAATTCCCAGTAAAAATAGTTTAGGTTTCATAGCAATTTTTTCCTGTCATTTCCTTTATGAAGAACGATATTTAAAGAAATGTAGTTTAGACCTGTCCATATCTTTCTGTCCCTGCACCCTTGCTTTCTCTCGGTCTATATAGTGTTTTGTGCATTGAATGATGTTCTTTAAAGTTCTTGCCATCAATTCTTTAGTCAATTAAGGCCTTCGCATAAGATTTTCTCATAAAATAAGAGCATGCCTCAAGTACAATCAGTTTTCCCCAAATAGCCAAGGTATTCTATGCAAAATAGAATCGCCAATCTAGTGAGTACCTTGCAAACTAATGTATTGTTATATAGTGATTTAGCATATTGTTAGCCACATCCCACTATTTGGGACAGACACACCGACCCATTCAGGATGTATTATTTAAATAGGATGATGGCAATGGTAATAATATCTGAAAGTTCATTCAGAAATTAATGCAAAAGTTCTAGGAGCCAAATAGCTTTGATTCTTTAAGTGAATTGTTCATTTTTTCTTCTCAGATTCTGAATTATAGATGAGGATTGTGAATTTTAATCTTTCTGCAGATTACAGAATGGTGGGAAAGTAGTCTAAGACAGATAATCTCTTTAGCAATAGAAGTCAATTCTCTACATGATCTGTGAATCAGGCCACTGTATATGCTTTCCAGAGCAGTTTTCTCCAACCTGGAGGTCATTCATATGTGTGAATTCCCAGAATTCCCATGATAGCATTTGTTTTTTCTAGTTAATGAAATAAAATAAAGCAAAGTATATTGTATATGTGGTTTTAAAATCCCACCTTAATAAAAAAGCATGAATGCTTGCAAATAAAACATAAAAGTTAATTGGAGGGAGGGATTTAGCTAGCCATCTTCAATTTGTAAGCCTATATATCAAATACTCAAAGAGAACTCTGAGAAGATCCTCAGAGAAGTTTAAAAAGTCCTTCGGTCTACCAAACCTTTTGCAATATGACTTTTGAAAGGATGGGTATGGCAGGAATCCACACACATTGAAAAAGTGCTGTATTCTTTTCTAGAAGGGACAAAGAACAAATACCTCAGCTGTTCTTTTAACTGGTAGCCCTTTCCAGGTAATATATTTGGGAAATTATCAACTGGATTTTTTTCTTGCCACGTTCAAAGTTCAAATTCTTGTTTTGAAGCAAAACACATCAGTAAAATGGCAAAGCTGCATAGAAAGTTCAAGCTTTTCAGCTATTTTTAAACAGATTGCAAAAGACATCCTGTTCAAACCCATTAAAAAAATCCCTCAACTTGTTTCCTAAACTGCATCTATTTACATATAAATCAAAGATAAGATCACTATAGAATCTAAGTCTGGAGCAAAGGTATAGTCTTAAATAGTGTTTCTGAACATATATGTACATTAAGCACTTACATGTCAAATTCATACCCAGTGCCACAAATCTCTGCCAAGTTGTCATTTAGTACACTTCAAAACAGCAATATTTCCACTCCTCAATCCCTCCAAACTGCACGTTTGAACATCATGAACCTCTCTTAGCAGCTGACCAATTGAAAAGTACAAAACATCCCCATGATTGAGTGCGTTACTATGATTCATGATATAGATAGATACTCTAGATCAGGGTGTCAAATTCACATCGTCACATTGTCGTCACATGACATATCGTGACTAAACCGAGGGTGGGCGTGGTCATCATGTGATGCATCCGGCCCATGGGCTGGGAGTTTGACAGCCCTGCTCTAAATAGATCCACAGTACCCCCCCAAAAAAAAACCCATAGAAAGAAAAAAACAATTTAAAGAAACCACAAAAGTTATTCCTCACTCCATTCAAAAAAAATGAAATATTTGTTTTAAATGGCTAGCACATGCAAGCAAACATATCCATGTTTTTAGTATATGTGCGATTGGGCATTTGTAAAATGAGGACAACAACTGAGCATTTATAAGAGAAAGCTGCCGGGCTATCAAATCATTATTTACCCTGTATTTAAAAAGTTTCTGTCTTCTGCCATATGTTATGGCATGCAAGTTATATGTGAACTAACACACAATGCTGTAGCCATGGACTGACTTTGGCTGGTTGAGGCTGATATGGGCACATTATTTTTCCCTTCCCTCCTCCCTCCCCCATTATTGTGCTCTGCCATCTGTGACTATGCTGGCGTAGGCTGCTGGAAAAACTGGACACTGTGCTTTTTAAACTTCAAGTGTGGACTTCAACTCCCAGAATTCCCCAGCCTGCATGTTGATCTACATTTATGGGGGTGTCAAACACGGCCGGATGTATCACATGCAGGCCACTCCTACCCCAGCTCCATGAAGGGGGAAATGTCACGGAACGTCACATGACGGCAATGTGACGCGGCGAGTTTGACCCATGATCTACAATGTCTGATTTAGAAAAAAATGGTCTAGAATGTCTTGACATTCTAAAAAGGAGTGGATGAAGCATGCCTGACATACCTTTGGAAAGTAGCAGTCTTCTGGTAGACCACTGGACCTGTTATTAAACATAAGGTTAAAATAAAATCAATCTCTCTCTTTTCATTTATTACTTTAAGAAAAAAAATATTTAATTAACAAAAACTAGTGAAATCCTCCAACATGAAATCTAGACCATATATAATCATATTACTTCAATTTTGGGAGTTGAAGTTTACACTTCCTAAAGTTGCCAAGTTTGAAAAGCCCTGTTCTAGATTATAAAGAACACATCCACCAAATCCTTTTTTTCACACCAGGAGTGTAAATTTCTTTCCTTCTACATTGAATAATTATGTTTGTGGAACATGAAGCCCTACTTTTTAACAAAAACGTCATCACAATTATATATTTGTATACTATTACGGTTTTTTCCCTAAAATTGTATTATCCTATGTATTAATGTGGGACCAAGAAAGAACCATGAAGGAACATGACAAAATCATGAAGATAAAAGAATCCTCGAATGTCTTAAAATACCAACAGAAAAAGATCCATCCTTTTTCAAACATTCATTGAGGAATTCAATAGCAATGAAACAAAACGTTCTGATAAATTTACTTCATCTCTAAATCATAGGAAGTGTATTTTCCATTTCTTAAAACTTCGGCATGTTGATTGTTTGTGCAGACATTAACTGTATTCATATGTTTTATTGAGCTATCATGATTGTATTACTCCCATCTGTTGTATTTCACCAATAAACAAAGATAATATCATTAAACAAATGTTCAAGAGTCTTTCACTGGATGCGGGGTGGGGGGGAGAAAGGGGCTGTGGATTGATTTAACAGGGAAGAAACTGTATTGCTGGTTCTGCCTCCAAAAACTGTCAAAATGTTTTGTTGTTTTTGCCAAGAAAGGGTTTGGCACATATATTACCTTTTTTTATGACTTTGGAAGGAAGGAAGTGCCATTTTTCTTATTCAGTGCTATTTTGCCCACCTGGGATAATTTCAGGTGCAACTACTTGCTAACAACTCATTCTCTTGTAGCATTATTAATGTTGGATATCCTGGCGCTGGAGTAAAAGTGGGCAAGCATTCTCTGCCAGATTCCCTTCTATCTCAAGTGACAGGAAGGCTGATTGATTTCTTACAGGCTACCATTTTTTGGGAGCTTCTGTGCGGTGGAGTGGAGAATGGTCCAGGGTTAAGTGGAGGAAGCTGTCTTAATGCCTTGCACTGTGTCCTGTCAGCAGAAAAACTTTTTGAAAATAGTCTATGGCAGGGATCTCCAACCTTGGCAACTTTAAGACTTGTGGACTTCAACTCCCAGAATTCCTCAGCCAGCTTTGCTTTGCTGGCTGAGGAATTCTGGGAGTTGAAGTCCACAAGTCTTAAAGTTGCCAAGGTTGGAGACCCCTGGTCTATGATTTAACTATCACACAGGTGACTAGAAAGGTAGGTGAACATTGCCTACCTCTGCCTCTGAGCTGCTGATTTAAAAAGTCTCATAATAGTCTGGATGTACCTTGCTTTTTTTCTAGCTACTTTCAGCTAGGGTGACCCCTTCTTCCATGGACTGGGATTGATGGTAATTTTCCTACCTGATGCTGATTTTGGGAGAGAGGGGAAACGAAGCCAGTGAAATTTGCCAGTCTCTCTCCCCTTAAATTGTCTTGCAGTAAAATTGTAATTTGCAAGTCTCGTTCCTTTGGCAGATTTGAACTTGTCATTTGGGACAGCACAAATTACTTAATGAGTTTTCTGTTGGTTTAGGAACTGGAGGAATGCACTGTACCCTCAACAGCATTTAGGAAGAGCTTACAGATGTTCTCTCCAGATCTCTTATCTGGCATGCCCATCTGTTGACACCTACGAATTAATGTTGCTTATTAAATTAAACTAGGAAGTTTTGATTCTGCTAGGTAGCTCTTCTTTGAAATGTGAGTCCAGATGTGGGCCATTCTTGATGCAGGGATGGGCCAAAAGCAGGTTTGGATGTGCAACAGAAAAATATTGGCAAAGGTTTCTGATTCATTGCTTTGATAATTCTGTCAACTAAAGAATACTGTTGAAATTAAGCAAGTTGAATAACTGAGAACAGATTTTTGTTCAGCATGCTTTAGAAAGGAAAAAGGAAGGGAAGGGAAGGGGCCTGCTGCCTCTGAGCTGCTGATTTAAAAAGTCTCATAATAGTCTGGATGTACCTTGCTTTTTTTCTGGCTACTTTTACCTAGTTAACTTGATTGCACAGGGAACATTGCATGAATACATCAGTTGAGCTCTCCCAAGGTGATGAGTATCATAGGTCACAAGAATAATAATAATAAAAAAAGAACCACCCCCGGCCCTCCAATTATTTACTTACAAAAATCTTGAAGAAGCAGTTTTAAACAAGTAAATAACATGTGCCTGATCTAAGAATAGGTCTCTGAACACCTCTGTTGATCTTTTAGTCAAGGGCACAGCGTCAGCATGAGGCCTCTTGCTAGGTTTCTTTCTACAATGCCATGTTTTGCATTGATTTTTTTGAACCGGAATTGAATCTTTTGCATTTTGTGCTGATCTTTGATTTTTTTTTTATTTGATTTATATGCCGCCCTTCTCTGGAGACTCAGGGCGGCTTACAATGTGTTAAGCAATAGCCTTCATACTTTTGTATATTTTATACAAAGTCAGCTTATTGCCCCCACAATCCGGGTCCTCATATTAAGCAAATAATGACCGGCTTTGTCTTAGCTTAAAAAAGAGAATGTATCAATGCTGCCCCTAACTGCCAAGATAGCTAAAGTTAGCAAGGTAGGATAAGTTGTTTGATTTGGTATACAATACAATTGATTGTATAAATACAATCGTGCCAGCTACAAGTGGCCAACTCCAGCTCTTAAACTACTGTTTATTGAATAAGACAAAATAGTCTATATTTGCACAGCATGTTAACTAATAAATTATAGTTTACGAATCACAATAGCTGGATTTATATAGAATAGAATAACAGAGTTGGGAGTGACCTTGGAGGTCTTCTAGTCCAATCCCCTGCTTAGTCAGGAAACCCTATACCATAGGGACGCAACTTGGGCGTCCTCCTGGATGCACGGCTGTCTTTAGAAGAACATATGGCGGCCGTGGCCAGGGGGGCTTTTTATCAGGTTCGCCTGATACACCAGTTGCGTCCCTTTCTGGATCGGGACTCCCTATGCACGGTCACTCATGCCCTCGTCACCTCTCGCCTGGACTACTGCAATGCTCTCTACATGGGGCTCCCCTTGAGGAGCACTCGGAAGCTCCAGCTGGTCCAGAATGTGGCCGCGCGGGTAATTTTGGGAGCGACTTGGCGCTCCCATGTGACACCTTGCCTGCGCGAGCTGCACTGGCTCCCGGTGGTCTTCCGGGTGCGCTTCAAGGTATTGGTTCTCACCTTTAAAGTGCTCCATGGCTTAGGACCCGGCTATTTGCGAGACCACCTTCTGCCACCGATAACCTCCCACCGGCCAATTCGGTCCCACAGAGAGGGCCTCCTTAGGGTGCCGTCGGTCAAGCAATGCCAACTGACGACCCCCAGGGGGAGAGCCTTCTCTGTGGGGGCACCTGCCCTCTGGAACGAGCTATCCCCAGGAATACGACTAATCCCGGACCTCCGGACCTTCCGTCGAGCTTTGAAGACCTTCCTATTCCAGCAAGCTGGGCTGGCTTAAAATTTTAAAAGGGTTATTTTAAGGGTAATGGGTTTTAAATATTTCGGGAAGCCAATTGGATTTAATTCTGTTTTAAATTATTTTAAATTTTGTATTGTATGTATTTTAATTTGGCTGTGCACCGCTCTGAGTCCTTCGGGAGAAGGGCGGTATACAAATTTAAATAATAAATAAATAAAATAAATAAATATGACATATTAAATCATAATATTAACCCATAATATGGTGAAACATGGACACTAACGTTACAATTATATAAAAGCTAGGAGTGGTGCAAAGAGCCATGGAAAGATGCATGCTCGGCATTACAAGACAAGATAGAAAGACCTGCGCATGGATTAGAGAACAAATGAAAGTATAGGATATCATCAAGAAAGTAAAAGAATTGAAATGAAATGGGCTGATCACATAGCAAGAAGAACTGGCGGCAGGTGAACCAAGGGGGTCATAGAATGAATCCTACTTGATAAAAAGCATCCACAAAAGAGACCTAAAATAAGATGGATTGATGACATCAGCAAGTATTGCGGGTCCAATTGGCAAAAGAAAGCTCATAGGACCATATTGGTTGGAAACATGCGGAAGAGGCCTTCATCCTACAGTGGATACACAATGACTAAAATGATGATGATGATTAAACCAACCGAAAGACCTACGTTGTGGCACATCATAATGCAACTGGTTACCAGTTGCCAGTTGCCAATTTAATTTTCTCCAAGTGGAATCATTCAGATAAGCATATGGGTGGCCACATTCTCCTGTTGAACCCCTTCATTCCAGCAGAATAGAGTATGGTTTAAGAGCTCCTTTCATACCTTTTTGTTTTTCTGTGGAGAATTAAATATGTGTAATAGAATTAATTGAGATACTTTAAAAAGTTACATGGTGTAAGTAATCTTTTTAGCAACAGTATCCATCAGCTTACACTCAACCCCTAGTTACTTCATGGCTATGTTGAGTAGATTTCTTGGCAAGCAATCATGCAGAAGCCTTTTCTTCAAACTCAGACCCTTTCTTCCTCTTCCTCTTAGCAGAACATGGCCAAGGCAAAGATTGTCGTTGTTGGTGCTGGTCTGATCGGTTTATCCACCGCTGTGTACATTTCAGACTCCATTACAAACTGCACTGTGTCTGTCATGGCTGATAGATTTTCTCCTAACACGACCAGCGACGTTGCTGCAGGAATGCTTATCCCACATCTTTATCCAGGCAAGCAAAATTTACATTTCAGAAAGCAAAATCTGAAATTGTCCAAGTATTTATTTTATGCCTATTTGCCCTCCCCGATTTTTACTTTGTAGCCCCAAAATCAATTTTCTAGGAAGTACAACTGCAGTTTCAAGGGACATTCTTCCAGCCTCTTTTAACTGGTACATTTTGAGTAAGACAGCTGAAGCTGTTGTAATTTATTCAGAAAGAGACACTATCTGCTTATCTTTAAGACTGGATGCCTTTCTAAAATTTCCAGAGTAACTCCATGCTGTATGTAGTGGTACAAGTTATTACTTTTCCTGGACAGTGTTAAGTGTTAAGTCCCCAAATAAATTGTCCATATCAGGAAGATTATCTTATCTTGTATCTTGGGAATAATCATTTCCTGCCATTTTACACATGCCATTCTAGTAGTACATATATTATATTCCATGACACAGTTGTTGCGGATGATGGTGATGATGACAATGATTATACAAATTGTGTCTGGCAAGAGGTAGGTTTCAGCAGGTTCTGATCAGTTCTGGAGAACCGGTAGCGGAAATTTTGAGTAGTATGGAGAACCGGTAGTAAAAATTCTGACTGGCCCCGCCCCCATCTATTCTCTGCCTCCCAAGTCCCAGCTGATTGGGAGGAAATGGGGATTTTGCAGTATCCTTCTCCTGCCATGCCCACCAAGCCACGCCCACAGAACCGGTAGTAAAAAAAATTGAAACCCATCACTGAATAGGTTCCCCACGCATATGTCCTACAATTGGCCTATATGGGACTTTCCTACTTCATCTATAAATGTTCATGTTTTGATTTAAGCTCCTCATTTCTTGCATTAGACTCTATAAAGAGGGAGTCTCAATTAGGTCAAAATGCGATGCTGGCTTGTTGCACTCGCCCTCCTTCTAATAAGTAATTAATTTAGTCAAATTCTGAATGGTATCAATAACAGAATAATCAGGAGTGGGAGAAGCTTTCATGGAGCGATTTTTTGCTCAGGATACTCTTTACGGTTGCCCTCATTTTGTGAGAAAAATGTAACACACTTAAAGGATTTCCCCTTTCATTGTTTAGAAATTACAAATGGGATGGCTGACATTCCCTGTAAAATCAGCAGGCCAAGGTTGCCTCAAAGGTTGCCCACTGTGTCTACTATTGTGCCTCAATAGCTATGCAACAGCCTCTTCTTTATTCTGAATTCTTGTCCAGAGGGCAGGACAAGAAGTAATAGGTGGAAGCTTGTTAAAGAGAAAACCAATCTATAAATAAGGGGAACTTTTCTGGCAGTGAGAACAATTGATCAGTTGAATAGCTTGCCTCCCGGAGTTGTGGATGCTCCATCATGGGAGGTTTTCAAAAATAAACTGGACAGCCATTTGGGATCATATAAGGCTCCTGACTTGAGCAGGGGGTTGGACTAGAAGACCTCCCAGGTCCCTTCCAGAACATAATTCTATGTTCTATAAATTCTGTAACTACCTCTGCATCTCACCAGTACTAGCCGTCTATCTTGGAAGCTAGTGGCTCCTGTTTTCAGCTGTATTTGTAGTTAGGACTCACAGGAAGACTCCCCCACCATTTTGGGTAATTAGCCTCTATGTCATGGTTCCGAGTAATGGCTCAATCACTCTATGCAAACCAAACTATTGTCTCACATCACTTTATTCCACATGTTTAGCAAAATGTGGAGAAATGGGTCATTAGGAAGAGTTCTGCTCTTCCTGGAGGAGAAGAGTGAGAAAAAGACCATTGTGATTCTTCCTCCTTCTCCTCCACAACTCCTTGTGGTTTGGGAAAATTTGACCTGGAGGTCTAGATGACCTCCCAAAATAGCATGAATAGTATGGAGAGTTTGGGGGTGGGATGTTTCAGAGACCACATCTTTGTCCCTTTCCTCCTGTGTGGAATCTCTGCTTGATTCGCAAAACCTTCCATTAGCAGTTTGCATCCAATACATAAATTTCAGTGCAACCCGTTTTATGTCTGCCTTTTCTGGATTTTCTTAAAATGCTTTCCCTCCGTTTGAAATGTGTTTTCTTTCTTCTCTATAGGCACACCTGTTGATCAGCAGAAGCAGTGGTTTAGGGAGACTTTTGACCATCTGTTATCCATCTGTAATTCCTCAGAGGCCTCAGAAGCTGGGATTCACTTGGTATCTGGGTGAATATAGAGTTCATTAATGCTTTTGTGATTTCTTTCAGCATTGTGCTGAGCAAGCCTCTTGATTAGGGCAAATTTGGGAGGCATATAATGCTGGTGGGGACCAGGAGAGAACTTCTTGATTTCTGCAGAAGAAAAACAGAATGCAAACATTTATTTTAGACTTATTTCTCGTGATCCTTAAACTGGGTTCAGAATTTATTTAGGGAAACATTCATATGCTGCAGTGGCACTTGTTTTTCTCTTTTAAAAATGCAAGTTTCAGTTTTCAAAAGCTTTGGCTTGGGCCTGTGATTTTTATAATGTGGTGTTGATATATAAGAGATTCACTAACTTCTCAGAGTACTTTACATTCAAAGGCAGGTTTGGCATTAAATGCCAGTTATTGGCAAGTAACATCAGAAGATAGAATTGCTCTCAAGTCCTGCCTCTGGGCTTCCGACAGTGCAGCTGATTGTGAGAAATAGGATGCGGTATTAGATTGATCTTGGCTACATTTAATTGGACTTCTCCTTGTCACACAGAAAGTTGTGATGGAATTGGGAACTTTGGGATGGGCTGAGCAGAGGGAGCGGGGGGGGGGGGGGGAATCTGAATATGACCATATCTCAACTGAGGAAAAAAAAATCCTAAGGTTGTATTTGGGAGGGTCATAGTACTGAACATGACCCATTTGTCTTGTTAATTGGCTCTGCTGGTGGGGCTGATTATAAATATCTTCTCTTCTATACAGTATACCATTTATGTAGAAGGTATATAATAAAAGCTCCTTCTAATATTCAGAGGCTCCAGGGCAAATGTGGAGTTACATTCAACTATAGGCTGCCTCATCCTGTTTTGCTTGCACAAAACACAGTGTGTTTTTGTACAGCTAACTCTGAGATATTTATAGAATTCTGGATTACTAATTTTCAATAACCCTTTTTTCCTGCCTTTCTTTAGCTGAGTTATATGAAAATCCCAGTCTGTGGGTAGAATCAGTTGCTTACAAAACCAGTTTCAAAATAAGAAAACAGTGGATGTGTGCAATTGCAGAAGTTTGGACACCCTTGCAGTCAATACTTTGTGGCACAGTTTCTCTAAGCACTTTGTGTGCTGTTCAGGGGTCAACTAAATGACTTTCCTGCTCCCGAGAGCAGTCCTTGGTTCACATCTTCTATACTTCTTGTAAGAGGGCAAGTTTGCCAGGGGAGACTTAACTCCAGTTGCACTAATCACCAAGAGGCAGTACATGACTAGGTTCATCTTTATTTGGATACCTCAGATGTAAGTAACCAGATTTAGTCTGTGGGATTCAAACCCTTCACCAGGAATTAAACTCATAGACCATCACACTTTTAGATGATTGCATATGGTGCATTGACTTTAACAGCTACCCAAGCCCTAAGGCTCAACAGTTGCAGGAAAGGATATCTAGAAGTTCCATCAGAACAGTGTATATACAGTCCACTTTGCCTTAAGCTCTCCAAGCAGAGAAATAACAGCTGTTATCCCACACATGGGAAGTCCTGTAAAACTCCATATAGCTCTAGCAGAGATTTTTCTTGGTCTCCCGATGCTTGGTTTTTTCCTTGGCTTTGGTAGTTAGGTTTAATATTTTTAAAACAATATTTTTCCTGGTTGAACTTGCTGCTTGGAATCATTTAGAAATACCCTTGTCCTCTTTTATAAGCATGAATTGTCTTTATTTCCTAAGGCTTAGATAGATGCTTAGAGGAGCTCATGATTATTGAAAATAGACAATCGCAACCTGAGAGGTTAAAAAGATTAGAATGGCTAACTGTAGTCTACTGAATCATTTACTTCTTCAAGTCTGATTAACACTTTTATAGTGACAACAACAACAACAACAACAACAACAACAACAACAACAACAAAGTAGCACTGAATCAACTGGATGGTATCCAAACTTCTATATCTACATAATAATGTTTTCTTAGTTTGAATTTGTGAACAGTGAATAGTAAATATGTATTCAAATTTGCAGAAATATATGTTTAATTATGGAACATGTAGAAACTGTGGCAGCTTCTATTTATTTAAAGATAATTAAAACATACAGTTTGACTAGTGGTGCCTAAACATAATATTGAGATGTGGATTAGGAACTCAACTTTGCTCGTTTTATTTGGTGAATTTTTAAAAGCTTGGTTTTGAAAAAAATATTTCAGGATGGAGAGAGACCATTAACACCAAGAATGCCTGTGTTTTGCACCCTTATTCTCTTGAATATGAACAAGCTGGCAAATATTTAAGGATATTCCTGAGGAGAAGATGCCATTCTGGTCTGATGCAGTTCTGGCCTTTCGCTCAATGACTGAAAAGGAGCTGAAGAAATTTCCACAGCACAAATATGGTCAAGCTTTTACCACACTGAAATGTGACTGCCCATCGTATTTAATTTGGCTGGAGAAAAGGTATGGGTTTTTATTCACTTTTTTAGATTGAAATGCAGCAATACAATAAAGAAGTATGATCTAAAACTTTTGGTGGTTTTTTACACTTAATCCTTCATTTGCCCACTTCATTGGTCCTTTCCTGTCAAATTTACATAATGCTGAAACAGGATAAGGTCTAGTTTTTAGGTCTATCTATTGTGGTGAACTAAATCCCAGCAAGCAAATAAAATATAATCTCTTGTCAGTTAAGGTTTCATTTTTGAGCACACCTCTTTATAATATAGTATTTACAGATTAACTTTTACATGGAGATTCAGGGATAAGTGGGGATTTTTCTTCTTAAAAACCTACAGGTTACTATTAATAGGTAATTGTAGGCAGATAATTTAGAAAGATGTCCCACCAAGAATAAATTTCTTCTCTGTCAGACTTTAAAAGCAGGAATCAGTAATTGTGTCACTCTGCACTGACATATTTCCTATGTATGTGTTTCTCTTCACCACTGTATAGTACATAAGATCCAACAAAATCTGGGGAATTAGAATATAAGGTTTGTCAAAGTTAGACAAAAATACTTGTTACATCACAAAGCATTCAGGAGAAAGCTTCAGATTCCAAAGATGTAACATTTTGGTGTTTGTCCTTTTGTCAAATCAGCAAAGTTGACTATCCAACAAGGTCAAGTAAAAGATCATTTATTATGGATCTTAATGTGACTACATTAATTTAATTATGTTCTAAATCACTACTGCAAAGTACTTTATCCTGGAACTTTGCATTAACCAGATCGCCAGCTTGAGGCATTTAATTGCATTGAGCCTATTATTTGACACCCCCATAGGCAGTTTATAATCTTGGGTTATAATTTATTTTGATTATACCTTCCAATTTAACTCTGAATATGAATTCCGCTGAATATGAAGTATACATATCCATGGTGAAAATTTAAATGGTGTACACATTGGAATTCAGCCAAAGGCCCTGAAGTCCTTGTAATTAGAAACAGAACAACATATGGGAAGATTGCAAAGGAAGGGCTTCGTAATTTGGAAACCCTTGTAAAAATGTAAGAATATGGCTGGCAATTATATGATGAAAGCTTTGTCCAGAGACAACCCCAGATTCATTTATCCTGGAAATTTCTTTTAACAGAGATTGTAGAAACTGAAGAAGACGCCTGTTGGAGCAGACCAGCCTCTTTGCTCTGGCAGTGGTCAAGCCAAACTCATGAGATGCCATCAGGCAGGATGTGAGGATAATTGCTCTCTACCAATGTTGGCTTCCATGAACTGGTTCATATGTCAGTTTCTAGATTTAAAGTATAATTCTTTCAACAACATTAGCAGCCTTATTCTTTTATGTCAATTGGTGGCCGTAACCACAACCTGTAGAAGGGTGTTGCATGGATTAAGAGTGATATAGGAATGTAATGCTACCTTAAATCTATCTGGGATTACCAATCATTCAATTTTATTTGGTGATGTTGGATTCTAACATCAGCTGGATATTAATGTGTGCTCAGAAATGATTTTCTTCTTTTTTACCAGGCATAGTGTAGCATTTACATCTGCACCCGTGTTTGGACCTAAGCTAGTGACTATCATTTCATCTTACATCAAGGAGAATTTTTAAATAATATATGCATCGTCTGGTTTTTAGTCATGAATTTATCAGCCTCCAACATGCTGGGCAAGCTGAAGTTCTTTGTGATTTTTCCCAGCCTGATGCTGCCTGGTGATAATTCTGGCTGGAGAGGACAGGAGTGGTGGCCCAACATATCTAGAGGCACTTTACTCAGGAAGACAGCTTTTGTGTTATAGGCCAGAGATCCCTTTTAAATATTTGGACATTTTTACAGTTTTGCATTCGAGAGTGAGGTGATGGAGAGTACAAGTCAAATATTACCAACAGTTAGCTGGTCATTGGGTTGTATTCAGCTCCGGGCTTCTTGTTTTACAGTAATTATCCGTAAGTGCTTTTTCTTCTTCTCCCAATCCTACCTGCTGTCTCTTGGGACACACAGGCCCTGTCATGTTTCATTTTTTAAACAACACTGAACACGGTACCGAGGCTCAGTGAAGCTGCAGGATCCATTTAATATTTGTCAGGTGGGCTTGTGGGCAGAGACTTCGGTTGCCTCTCATTTCTGTTTTACTCTTTTGTGATTTCCCATAGGAGTTTCCCTTCCTCAGTGCAATGCCCTGGCACAAACCCATTGCAATGGGGGCTGATCGGCTTCCTTGAACGATGGCATAGGTCCAGTGAGCTGAAAAACATGATTACAATTTCTGCTGATAAATGTGCAGTTTATTAAACATCATTTCAGTGTCCCAGCCACTATTTCTGGTACTTTATCAAAAGACACACAAAGGGAATCAGTAATAAACCACTTGGCTGGAATTCATGAACCGCTATAGTGGCTAATAAGAATCTTCATTGGGAGGGCAGCCTTTGCTCCGAAGGGGGCATAACTTGCAAATATATTCAGTTATAAAAAGTTCTGCCAAGTTCAAATCTTAAAACAATTGCATGTTGGCACAAACTGGGAAATAGGAAACTAAGATTGAACTTTAACAAATATACCCTGTGACGATATTGTGTAATGTCCAACAAAGATTCACATGCTTCATTAAGCAGCCCAGGACTTTGGGATGAATGTTCTTGGTAGCAGGAGTTTTTTCATCCGTGTTAACTTGTAATTGTTGCTTTTTATTAACTGGGCAGATTTCCCAAATCAGACTTCTCAGAATGTAGAGATTGTGTTTTTGAGCAAAAACCCAACACTTTTACCCGTTAGGATCCCAATCCATATCATAAAGAAGAGTAGACATTTCTTATAGCATTCTGTGAATTTCTTCTGCAAAACTGAAAATTTGGGACATTTTGGCTTGAGAATGAAACTAATATTTGCCAAGAAACAAACTGAACAATATATGCAAACTCAGATCTAATCAAAATATCAGTCCTGTACTGTCTGACATACAGCAAAGGCAAAGTGGCACAGGGAAACTTTTATTCTCCTCCAGTGATTTCCTCATGATTTTAATAAAGTTCAGAATCTGTTTGCAACAGATCTTTCACAGTTTGAGGCTGGATGCATCAGATTGATGATACTTCTATATTACACAGTATCTTGAAACTTAGTTTCACAATTGCCATGTGGTATTAAGCCCCAATAAACAAAAATCTAGCATTTTTGTGGAAACAGAAAACTCAGTGTGATTCTTTGGATCCTGACTCCAGTTTTTGTGGATCCACATTAAAGAAGGGAATCAATTCTGGTGGCAAGAGGAATCTATAATTAGCTAGACATTTCCCATACACTATTCAAAATCTTTTCTTCACTCCAAAAACACAAATCTTTTTTTGAAAAAAATGCCACCAATCATAATTTTAATTGCAGAATGGAATAGGTATGGTATGGTATGGTATGGTATGGTATGGTATGGTATGGTATGGAATGGAATGGAATGGAATGGAATGGAATGGAATAGAATAGAATAGAATAGAATAGAATAGAGCTGGAAGGGACCTTGGAACCCCCAAAATGCAATGCACATGTGGCCCCGTGATGTGCCCAACCCCCACACATGTGCACACAGCCACCCACATGCAGCCCACTCCACGCATGCACATGCCCCCCGCACGCCCGACGCCCCTCCCGCATGCGCGGCAGAGACCCGATAACCAGCTGGCCAGCGGGAGGCGTGTCACATGCGTGGCAGAGCTGAACTGGGACGATGGCTCATGTGCCCACAGAGACCGCTGCGTGCCACCTGTGGCATGTATGCCATAGGTTCACCATCACAGGTCTAGTCTCTTCTTAAAAACCTCCAGTGATGGAGCGCTTGTGATTTCTGAAGGCAAGCAGTTCCACTGGTTAATTGTTCTCACTGTTGGGAAGTTTCTCCTTAATTCCAGGTTGCTTCTCTCTTTGATTAGTTTCCAACCATTGTTTCTTGTCCTGCTCTTTGGTGCTTTGGAGAATAATTTGGCCCCCTCTTCTTTGTGGCAGCTGCTGAAATACTGGAATACTGCTATCATGTCACCCCTTATTCTTCTTTTCTTTAGACTAGCCAAACCCAAATCCTGCAGCCATTCTTCATATGTTTTAGTCTTCAGGCCTTTGATCTTCTTAATTGCTCTTCTCTGAACTTCTTCCAAAGTCTCAACATTTTTTTTGTTCTATGGTGATCAAAATTGGTTGCAGTATTTCAGGTGTGGGTTTTATAAAGCAGTACTAATACTTCATGTGATCTTGATTCTATGCCTCTGTTTATACAACCCAGAATTATATTAGCATTTTTGGCGGCTGCTACACACTTCTGGCTCATATTTAAGTGATCGTCCACTAGGACTCCAAGGTCCCTCTCACAGTTACTGTTTTTGAGCCAGGTCTCACTCAATCTGTACTTATACCTTTAGTTTTTCCTGCCTAAATTTAAAACTTTGTTTTTCTCCACATTAACATTTGTTTTGTTGGATAGGACCCACTGTTCAAGCTTGTCAAGATCTTTTTGGATCCTGAGCTTGTCTTCAGGGCTGTTGGTTATTCCTGCCAGTTTAGTGTAATCTGCAAATTGAATACAATTTTTCAGGAATAAGGTATCACATCGTTTCCTTATTAGTCAAACTTGTAGGTAAAAGGCAATAACAAAAGGCAATAAGATATATCCTTACTGTTTTCCTATATACATGCTGCTTCTTTGCTGTCATTTTGATGGGATTATATTTATTATTATTTATTTATTAGTTTGATTTATATGCTGCCCTTCTCCGGAGACTCAGGGCGGCTTACAATGCTTTTAAGCAATAGCCTTCATATTTTTGTATATACCTGCTTAGTAGGGCTTTTGGGCCCCCCTAAGTGGTGTTCTTTTTTATACAAAGTCAGCTTATTGCTCCCACAATCGGGGTCCTCATTTTACCTACCTCGAAAGGATGGAAGGCTGAGTCAACCTTGAGCCTGGTGAGATTTGAACTCACAGTAATTGCAGGCAGCTGGCAGCTAAATACTACTTTAACAGTAGTTTAGTCCACTGCACCACCAGGCTCCTTGTGCCATAGTTATCTGGTAGAAGCCACAATGACATCCTATGCATTATGACATCATAATGCAAATGATCTGAGTTACATCGTTTGCATCCTGTGATATAATATGGTACAAATGAGGCACAGTTCAAAATGTGATTGTGTCATGATGTTGAGACCTGTGATGACGCATGGACACACATATGTGATTTGGGCTTCCCTTTACTCACTTCAGTTTTGCATTTCAAATTTGTGATCTCGCTCTTTGAACTATGTGATCTAAGTAAAACATTAGCCATAGAGGATTCAAAAGTGCCGTATTTTGACCTTTGATATATTCTTTATAGGCTGAAAGAAAATGGAGGCCAGGTGCATGCAAGAAAAATAGAAGATCTTTGGGAGCTACACCGTGATTTTGACATTGTAGTAAACTGCTCAGGCATTGGTTCCCGAAAACTTATAGGAGACCTAGAGATATACCCCACCAGAGGGCAAGTTCTCAAGGTTCACGCTCCTTGGATCAAGCACTTTATTCGTGATGGTGATGGTTTGACCTACATCTATCCAGGGATACACAATGTAACATTAGGTGGGATAAGAGAAAAAGACAACTGGAATTTGTCCCTGGATCCCATTGTCAGCAAAAGCATATTTGATAGATGTTCCGCACTTGAGCCTTCACTTCGGACAGCTGAGAATATAAAAGTGAGGGTGGGCCTGAGGCCGTCTCGGTCAGCTGTGAGAGTACAGAAGGAGGTACTGACTCACAAGCGTGAGAAGTTGCTGGTGGTTCACAATTATGGCCATGGGGGAGGTGGTTTTTCAATACACCAGGGTACTGCCAAGGAGGCAACTCAGCTGGTTAAGGAGTGCCTTGAAACCCTGGCAATACCTGGGTGTAAAGCAAAGCTGTAAATAGGAAAGAAACATTTCTCTTTTGATCCAGTAGTCTGGTAGAGCTAGGATTTTGGGTGTGATGTAAAATCTGGAGGAATGTCATCCAGCTGATTATATGTCAGTCACTTACCATATTTTTCGGAGTATAAGACGCTCCAGGGTGTAAGACGCACCTTATTTTGGGGGAAGGAAAATAAGGGCCTAGCCTAAATGGTTTTTAATGAGATTTTTAAATTTTATAGACTTGGGGTTTTAAATTGGGAGGCCGATTGATTTAATCTCTTTTAATTATCTTAACTTTTGTATTGTATGTATTTTAATTTTGGCTGTTCACCGCCCTGAGTCCCTTTTGGGAGAAGGGCGGTATACAAATTAAATAAAAATAAAAAATAAAAAAAGGGGGGAAAAATTCTGGTTGACAGGCTCTCCGTTTGAGAGGCTGTGTTTGCAGCCTCCAAAAGCTCCGTTTGCAAAAGAGCTTCTCTTTGTAAAGGCAGCCTCTCAAACAAACCTTTTGGAGGCTGTTAGAGAGGCTCTCTCTCAAACGGAGCCTCCAAAAGCTCCGTTTGAGAGGATGTAAGGAGGCTGAAGGGTGGGGGCCGGCAGATGGCCGGGGCTACATTCAGTGTATAAGATGCACCCAAATTTTCACCCTCCTTTAGGGGGAAAAAAGGTGCATCTTATACTCCAAAAAATATGGTACCAGGTACTTACCTTTACTACTGGTTCGCGATGGATCGTGCGTGCGGGTGAGCGAAGCGAGTGTGTTCACCTTGCTTCTGTGCATGCGCAGATCGCCGATGACGACATCCGGGGCAGTGGGTGGAGCCTCCCACCGGTTTTACTATCGGTTCTTGCGAACCAGTCCAAACCAGGGGCAACCCACCACTGTACGGTACCTAATTGCTCAGTGCTTGTGGTCCTCTTAGAAAAACATAAGCACTAAGACCGAAGGGAAGAAGGACTACCTGCTAGACTTCCCTGATCAGGAAGACCCTAGCTTAGAACTAGCAACCTTCAACTTCTTGCAGACAATTCATGGGAATTATCCCAATTGTATATGGGAAGTGCACAATATGCTGTTGTGCAGTTCAACTGTGGATATGGAGGTGACTCTTCACTCCCAGTCTGGAAATGCAGACTCTAGCCCAATGGGGCTACTGGAAGCCCATCATTGCAATAACTGTGGCTGTTAATTCTGTGACGGCGTTCATGGTTTTCTATCAGTTTTGGTGGCACCTGGCTTCAAAGCCTATGCAGACTTCATAGTTCCTTCATTACTCAAAACCATTTATCAAGACGTCCTTTTTACCCATTATAGGTATAGCACTTTCACTTTTAGTTTCCCTGTTGTGATTGGGCAATGGGTTTTGGGTATTGTTATCTAAAGAAAAACCAGCTTTACCCCATTTTAACCCAGATTTGGGAAGCACTGGGTTAAAGTGTTGAATTAGGAATAGGGAGAACTAGTTTCAGCTCTACCCTTAATCCTGGTAATTCATTAGGGATTTTGGCTTGATCATGTTCATTCCCAGCTCAGCCTATCTTACTGGGGAAGAGGGGAGAAATGAGTGTTATGTATGCTCCCAAGAGCTCTTGAATGAAAGGAAGGAGAGAAATCAAAGAAGTGAATAAATATGAAGGGAGATAAAAAGACTTCCCGCTGGACTGAAACTTTGCTGAAACAAGATTGGTGCTAATTTGTTGTCTACTTTTAAGTCTTTACTAAATTTTGAGTGGAAATTTTGAGTAGATCGGAGAACCAGCAAATATCACCTCTGGCTGGCCCCAGATTGGGGTGGGAATGGAGATTTTGCAGTATCCTTCCCCTGCCACGCCCATCAAGCCGCACCCATAGAACCAATAGTAAAAAAATTTGAATTCCACCACTGCCTCAATCTCAACCAAAAGTTCACTCTTCCTGTGCCATTGCTGGCTCTAGATAAAATTATCTCCAACTCCTGTTAATTGTCAATAAATATGGCAAGATGCCACATGGAAATTTGGGACCCTATACTCAAATACTGTTGGATTAGCAGGCACCAGTTGGGAAAGCTGCTGAAGTTGACGTGGCTGAAGCCATCTTGGAGTTCCAGTGCTGCCTCACTGAAGCAAGGGATAGGGAGGGGGGATTAGAGATAGTTAGGGTTGTATAGTCAAAATAAAATTCTTTCACCTGGGAACCAAGGATGTTCTCACACCTGGCCGGAAGAAGGAGGAGTAATATCACCAGACCAGCGGACGCTGCTGTGATTGGGCCACATGACTGATTGTTTGGGATTGAGGGAAAAACTTTTACTTTTAATTAGGTGAGAACCAAGGGGTCCTTCAGAGTTGGTTTTCACCAGACATGTGTCAATTTGATATTTCCAATAAAGCTATTCTTTGAGGAATCCACCTGCCTTGGAGTTTTGCTTGAAATGGATCTGTTACTTGGAACCCTGACAGCTGCTTCACCAATTCGAGTCATCACCTGGTTGTGGAAGTCATCAAGAGATAGGCATTAAATCCAAATATGCTGAATTATCTTGCTGGCATATTCAAAATGTTTTGTCGAATTTCTAGGAGGGAGGAAAATAGAGCATGTATATGGCAATTTGAGTTTTATTACCAAATATTGTATTTTAACATTTATACCTAATTGACTGAATTAGGAAATTAGTTACAGTTTGCATTTAGAAGTATGCCATGATCTTTGTCAAGGCTTGGTATCAGTGAAATAAAATGTACTTGTAGTGGCTTCTCTTTTCTCATTTCTTTCTACACACCTTTTCTCCTTCTTCCAGAAGAGGGCAGTATTGGATCAGTCACTTATTGGGCTATTCTTGAAAATTTACCTACTTGTGTTTTTCCTGCATTCGCAGCCCCCTCCCCAAACCACCAAAAGCCAGGAAGGATACGTTTAAATAACCATCTCTTATTTAAACAGACCCCAATAGACCCCAATATATCAGAAATTTGTGTTGTGTTAGATCTAAAATATTTGGGATGAAATGCCACCTGGCTGTTAGATTGCAGCACAAAGACTGAGAAAACTTAACTCTTGATTGCTATCTAGTTATTAACTGGATTTTTGCCGATGAGATCCAGTACCCTATTCTCTGCTGGGACTCAAAATGGGACTCTCTCATTCATTCCAGTTAGCTTGTTGTTACCCAACATAGAACTCTTGAGCAATTTATGAATAGAAGAAGGTGGAAAAAGTTGAAGGCTAGGTCATGAGGGCAATGTAATATCTTCCACTAAGTTCAACTCTTAGTGCAAAAAGACCCTTTACAAGGGGCTCCTTGAGTAAAGGGAAGAAGGCACCCTTTAATGAGAGACATCTTTTTTGTTTTTTTAATCTTTTCATAGTTAATTTTATAGAATTGTCTAGAATTTGTGGAGTATGTGATTCATAGCAATAGCACTTAGACTTACCGTATTTTTCGGTGTATAAGATGCACTCCACCCACTCCCCAAAGTGGGTGGAAATGTCTTTGCGTCTTATACAGCGAATGTTGCTGAAGCTCCACCCACCCACTGGCTCCCACCCTTCGGCCTCTGTCTCCCAGCAATTTACCTCCTTTTGGTCCATTCCAGGTGGTTGCGATAGGTAGCGACTGCAGCAATCCCCACTGCTTGGAACGGGCCAAAAATGGGGCACGTGGAGGCTGAAAACAGGATGTGCAAAGGCCAAAAATGGAGCGCACGGAGGCGGCGATAGGCAGCAGCAGTGATGGGTGGAGATGGCGGCGATGGGCAGTGGTGAACCCCACAGCCTGGAACAGCTGATAGGCGATATTCCGGGAGGCTGATCTAACCCCCAATCAGCTGCATGTGCTAAATCAGGCTGTGCTGAAGATGACCAGGCTGTTTGCTGCAAGAAGATAAATTGCTAGGAGGGAGAGGGAGAGACAGATTTTCCTGCCCTTCTTTTCCTCCCCAAAAGCTACGTGCGTGTTATACTTCAGAGCGTCTTATAGTCCGAAAAATATGGTATATACTGCTTCATAGTGCTTTACATCTCTCTCTCTCTAAGCGGTTTACAGAATCAGCCTATTGCCCCCAACAATCTGGGTCCTCATTTTACCGACCTCGGAGGGATGCAAGGCTGAGTCAGCCTTGAGCCAGTGAGGATCGAACTCCTGGCAGTGAGCAGAATTAGCCTGCAATACTGCATTCTAACCACTACATCACCACAGTTCATGCATATAGATGTATGCATGAATGAATTTTAAAGCATTGAACTCTAGCTAAGAAAGAACAATGCTTTATCTTACTAGTTTTTGCTTCCATCACTGTCATTTGGCTACTTTTATAAGGGAGAAATCAATAAGAAGGTGAATGCCCATCTCGATGTAACAGCTGAAACTGGTTTATGGAATCATTAGTTAAAAGAGAGCAACTAGCTTACTGAATCTAAGGCTATCACTTGGATGGGCTGCAGTACTCCAGATGACTAGAGCAGCACTAGAGTTGTTTAAAAATACCTTTATTACCATCTAGTGGTTATTCAGAGGCTTCTCCAATATATGGCTAGTCAGACTGAATGCCTTGAATAAATGGGATATACGAAGCCATGTAGAATAGACACTCAGTGTACTTATTGGTTGTTATCCTTCCTCTAGGCAACTCAGAGCGAGGGAGAGAGAAGGGGAGAGAGTGAATATCTTACTGGACTTCATTGACTTTTTTTTCTGAATCAGCATCAATAGGATTGTCTTGCCAAAGTGCTATTTTTCCTTCATAACACTTTTCAGAGAAAGATTAGGCTGAGACAGGTACTTCTCTTAAATATGTTTTTCTTGACTTGACAAGGGAAGCTCTTTGAAATAGATGAAGCTGCCTGGGGAAGAAGACTGCCAGCATTTCTCCATCTAGAGTACTTGAGACCAAGAAGGCCATTACAAATTTGATGGCCATTTTAATGCAGAATTTCCTGGTTGGAAGATAATTGTTTTCTTCTGGCAACCAAATGCTGCATTCTGAGATCTTGGAAGTTGCCTTGACTGAACAACAGAAATGCAACTTTGAAGGGATTCAGCAAGAACAATGGGGGTTCAGGCATCCTTTGGGGTGGTCCTGGGTCAGCATGGATACTTGCATCACTTCCAGCTTAAAAGATGTAGAGATGCTATCAGAAAAGGGCGGCGGCTGCTATTTAACTATTTGTCTCCAGAAAGCTCACATTGATTGAGATGAAGAGAAAGCCTTCAAACCAAAGGAATTAATGTACGCGAGCAAGAGCATTTCAAAATCAGATCTGGGTAGCTGCAAGTCTTAATAGGGTTTTCATTGTAAGCCTGTGTATTGATATTCTTAAAGCGGAGTCAACAAAGGGAGCAAGGAAGGGGGTTCAGTTAACTTCATTAAAATTCCATGTGTGATGAGAGAGAACTCTTTAAATTAGTTACTCCCTGGTTTAGCAGATGGGGATCAGCCTCGAGGGGCAAAATTGGCAAGGCTTGTTAGGCAGGAGATAGATCTGTTGTGGAATGGAGAGAAGATGGTATTTCTTTGCATCCCAGGAAGGAAAAATGCTACCTCCGCAGCAGATTTCAACTCTCCTCTCAACATTTCTGGGAAAATCTTAGACAGAAGGTAAATTAAAAGCAGCCAGGCAATTGGATTTGGCTTCCTACATCCCCCGCCCCAGCGTTTCCATTGCTCTGGGGATTGTCCTACTGTATTTGCTGGCTGGATGATTAAAACAAGTTAGAATTCATTTTTTTTTATTTTTATATGCCGCCCTTCTCCGGAGACTCAGGGCGGCTTACAATGCGTTAAGCAATAGCCTTCATACATCTGTATATTTTATACAAAGTCAGCTTATTGCCCCCACAAACCAGGTCCTCATTTTACCCACCTTAGAAAGGATGGAAGGCTGAGTCGACCTTGAGCCTGGTGAGAATTGAACTCGCAGTAATTGCAGGCAGCTAGATGTTAAATGCTGCCTTAGTAGGAGGCATTAGCCTCCTATGCCACTCAGGCTCCTCATTAACTGCCCCAAAGAAATATACAAATAACATTTTCTCTTTTTTTCCAGAAACTTATCAAATGGAAAGCAGTAAGAGAAATGGGAGTGAAGAGGCATAAGATAAATGTCACTTGCTATTTATTCTTATTTGATTGTAGATCATGTATGGGAGAGTAGCTGTAGCATAGTCTGCAGTAACTGGACAAACATTTATGGTCATGTCTGCAACTCCTATCATTATTTTCCTGTTGTGGCCTGCCAGCGCCCAGCAAAGTTTGCAGCAGAGTTAGACAGTGAGGAGGTTGGGGAGGAACATGGGCCAGTCTTGGGGGCTGAGGAAAGCTCGGATGAGGGCTCTGCATTGAAGGCAGAGAGGGAGATAGACAGCAGTGAGGCAGAGGAAAAGCTGGAGCCTGTCCCCAGTGTGCGCATGCGCAGAGCTGCCAGAAAACAAGAACAACTCAGAAAGCAGGGTCGACTTGGGAGTAAAGCCACACCTTGGAGATGATCATTGGCCCCTCCCATAGGAAACAAAAGATGAGCGAACGAGGAGGGGCTTTTGCAGGAAACAATTCATTTGTTCGGTAGTTTCAAGAGTGGAAAGTTCTGTTCATGATTCTAAGAGATTCTGTGCCAAGTGTTGCCTTACTCTGCGTATGGAAACAAGTTACATGGCAGCTTGCCAAACGAGATAAAGTGTGTTGATAACTATTCCTTTGAAAAACGTTTTGGACAAAACTTGCTGACTGTGAATGAAAGTAAATCACAGTTGTGTAAATAAAAGAGGTTTTGCCAGGACCAATTCCTGCTACCTGCTTTTTAAGGGAGCCTAGGTCAGAACATTTCCCAGCAAATGATGCTTATCACCAGGCCTTTCCCTCCTTATATAGTTAGGAGGGGCACTAATCCACAAGGGTGATGGCTAGGAAACTCCACATTGTACAAATCGTACAGATACGCACAGGCAGATTTAATTTGTTGTGTCCCCTCTCTGCACCACAAAGTTATTGCATAAAGTAATCTTTAAGGAGAATCCAGAGAGCTGTTGAGGTGGTAACAGTGCGGAATGGGACAACTTGCCACAGCCAACCTGCCGTGGCCAACTTTCTGTGGGACAACTTGTCTTGGCCAACTTGCCACAGCTGTGGGACAATTCAATAATTCAATGTACTTATTTAAAATAATTTAAGAATTATTTTAATTTGTGTCATTCAGATTTCATTTTGTCCCTCCTTTGGCATCCTTTCTTTAATGATTATATTTCACTATTTCTTCAATATTAGTGTTACTCTTGTCCCACGGCGAGTTGTCTTGTGGTGAGTTGGCCGTGGCAAGTTGGCTACAGCAAGTTGGCCATGGCGAGTTGTCATAGACCTGTAACAATGGCACCAGGGGGACATATTTCATGACATTGCCAAAAATGAAAAAGCTCTGGGAAGAATGGGTATGTGTGCATATACTGTATTTGACTATCAAGTAAGCTGATGAAACTAGCCTGCATTGACTAACATCTGTGGCACTGCATGTGGTTATCTTTCCATCAAGAAAAGCATGATAGAGCAAGAATGGGGCACTTTTCCAGAAGCACCAGCAGAACTTGTCGCAATCCTCCAGGAATAAGATGAAAAGCAAAAGAGAAGATATTGGGAACTGCCTAATTTTGGCCACCACTGATCATAAAAATTCCTCTAATTGAAGAGAGAGTTCCTGCCACACCCCATCTATCAGTAGAGAAGCTATGACAGGGAAAAGTTAACACTTCATAGGAAAGTGTTCAGGTA